AAAAAAAAAAAAAAAAAAAAAAAAAAAAAAAAAAAAAAAAAAAAAAAAAAAAAAAATCAAAGCAAAGAAAAGAAAAAAAAAAACATACCAACAAAAGTGAAGTAAAACTTTGTTACAAACATAAGCATTGTGTTATTGTTCCATTAAAAAAAAGACACAGCAAATGACTAAAATCCACCCTGTGAGAGCTAAAAGAAGAACAAAAGAGGAAGATTAAAAGAAAGATAGCTGAAAAGGAAAAAAAAGATGCTTTGGCGGAGAGGAAGGGTTAGATTAAAATTTATATATATAAAAAGAGGGATTTAGAAACCAAGAAAAAAAATGACAAACCGTTAAGAAACTGGCAGATGGTAACTTAAAAATATGCAAACGATTCTTTGAGACAGAAAGACTGATGAGGACAAATTTATTGTGCGCAACTACAGATACTGACAAACAAAAGGTATTACGGGTGGACACCAGTCGGCACAAAGATACTGCTGACTCAGCGCTGAAAGCAACCATAGGCTACTCAAAATAAATTGAAATCACTCACCCATTTAAAGCATCTCTCCAAAAGGGGAAAAAAGGAGAAAGCAGAAAAAATGAGAAGGAAGAATTAAGATTGAAGAAGTGGAAAAAAGGAGAAGAAAGACAAGGCAGAAATAGACAAGTTTGAAACTTCTCCAAAAAGGCAATATATGTCATTCTTGAGTGTAGTGAGTGTTTTCCTTCTAAATAAATATGTAGGATTAATCTCTATGGTTAGTGTGACGGCCATATAGTCCATCTCACTGATAACACTGTACATTATATACATAATATTTCCTTTAAAGACAAAATAACCTTTAGATATACACACAGTATTCCTTATCCTCAGAGAATACAGCCAAAGTAATAAAAGTAGCAAGCACTCTTTTTTACCCCTTTTCTTCTCTTTTATTTTTATATAAATAACCCATGCAGATCCCATATAGATTTATTTAAGATACATAACTCCTTTAATATCTCTCTCATTCAATAACAGCAGATATTGCCTTTTTAACACAGAAAGTAATGTGCATTTACATCAGAACAAAAAGGCTTTGCAGCTTCGTTTGAATTAAAAACCCAATGTTAAGCTCTACACACCAAATGTAACTAAATAGAATATAAGATAAACTAAAAAACATATTATTCTGTACAACATTCAAACCTTTTTCTGTCAAAGACCATGGGAATGGGATACAATTCTCTAACACTATATACAGACATGATATCATTCATGCACAGTGTCAACAAGTAGCACATTGACATTCCAAATTATGGAAAACATGGCATTGGGAGACAGAAGGTAGAATTGGTTTTTTTGGGGGGGTGACAAATACAGAACAGAAGTATTACTGCCTGTTTTAGTTAATTTGGCAGCAGAGGAGATTGAGAAAAAAATAGTTGAAAGAAAGGGAAGAAGACACAGGGACAGATAAGACACCGTAACAATACACATGCTGGGCAGGAGGAGTCCATTTTAGCTCACTGACCCAGAAATCTATGTATGGCTGTAACTTCATTTATTATTATTATTATCATCATTATTTTTATTCTCTACTATGCGTCCTTGTATTCCTTTATCTTCAATCTTCTTCTTAACATTATATTGTTAAAATGGTAGTTAAAGGTAGAGAACAGCTCTGGTAATGCCCCCCCTTCTTTTTTCGTTGCCAGCAGTACATTTTGCTCAGCAGGGATATGCGTCCTTCCATTTCCTCATTCGACAATCTCATTTTGCATTTATGTCCCAGTCTGTCCGACGGAGTCAGTTAAAGCGCGAACGATGCAACAAAGACATTTTCATCAACTTTTACATTAGAAGTAACATTGTTAATGATTCACAACGGGATTCAACACCACTGGATTATTATAATTTTTTTCTTTTTACAGGAACATTATTACTGTAGTCGAACAAAACAAAAAAAAATGTTGTCTACATCAAAAAACAAACTCTGAGTGAATCATCACGGCCGCTTCACATAAGCAACAAGAACCAGTGCAATGCTTTTGCTTCCCGTCAAACCTTGCTCACTTCATTTTAAAACCTCCACCACTGATTAACAAAGGCTCTCGCCCATTCCTTCATTACTTTGAGTGTTTCTACATATTGCAGTGGTGACTTTTCTGCATGCAGAAGTCCAAACCAAGACCAGAAGCTAAATTAAAATGTTATTCTTAGCAGGGTTAAGATGCATTACAAAAAAAAAAAAAAAAAAGATCCTGTTTTGCATTGACAATCATAGTTGGTAAAGCAAGCAAAACATGCTGGTTGCAGCTAACTTTTATTAGCTGTTGCTTCCATTCTTGGTTAAAATCCTGTCAACAGATGTCGATAATCTGCCGTTAGCTTCGTATCAGCGGTGTGTTGCTAACCGACGAAAAAAGTTTGCTTCTAAATTGACTTGATGCAAACAATTACATTACTGCGAAATTCTGAACCTGCCTATAAAGCTTATCGTAACAACTCAAGTAGCAGACAAGTTTAAAGGTAAACTCAACGGAAATTTGCAAAAGTCTAGACAAATTATGCTCCATTAAAGTTTGTCCAAATGGATGTCGTTTCTTTAATTTTTTTTTTACTAACATAACTTTTTACAGTGTATAAACCCTCAACTCCACGTCAGTGAAAAGACAAATTAAAATTAAACATTTGGGTTAGATTCAATCAGCAAGGCTTTTGTTTTGATTAGATTGTCAATGAAAATGGTGGCATTTTAAGAGAGAAAAACAAAACAAAAAGAGAAAACCTGCTTAAATATAGGATTGCTATTATTTTCTGATATATTTCTTTTTTGGCAAAATGGGGAAATTGACACAATCGAAATAAATCATATGAAAACAGTTCTTTTATAAAAAGTCATATAATTAGAGTTTGTCAAATGCAATAATAAAAGATTAGAGTTTCACTGTCAAAAGATTATTTTCTTTGTAATATAAACAATTGTTTGCAAAAGCAGTCATTATACTGGATTGATCCATGTAGCATCATCTTCTGAAATGTGCATTCTTGTGTCATTATCCACACCTATGGTCAATAATTTTATAAAACTTAAAGCAGTTAAAATAAACATCAATCTTCATAGCACTTTGGATTTCCCAAAATTGTCCATAAGAGGCCTCTGTTTAGGTTTACTCTCACCAGCACTGCAAGGTGTTTGTAACTAGACCACTGCAAAGTTTACAATGTTACACATCTAGTCCAGACAAGTTATTTTACAGATGACATTTAAAATACTAATTATACATTAAATAGAAAACAATACATGATAAGGGAAATACAAGCCAATTCAGTTGCATACAATAGTGCTATAGTACAAGTTTGCGTACGCTGAGTTCTTTGTAGTTGTAGCTGAATGAATAAAATAACAGTCTCAAGTCTGGACTTCTCACAGTCAAAACTGAAGATTTAATCTGTTTTTATTTTTATTTTTTTGCTTTGCTTCGTTTGATGCCAATGTGATGTTTCAATAAAGTTTTGTTTGACTTCTCATTAAAACATTTTGTACCTACAGTTTCAACAAGGCTTGATAGGTACTATATTAAAAAATGTTTTCACAATCTCCAATTGTATTTTCAGTGATTCCCAGTCATTTTTAGATGGAGACCACTGCCGTCGGGCCCCTCCCCCACCCTAAAATCGCTGAGTGGTGAAACTGGCTCAAATTTCAGCTAAAAGCAAACTGATATTGAATTACCTTGAAGCGTTTTGGAACAAGAACATTTCTTCTTTGTAACATAAAGCCTGATGGAATCGTTTAATACACTCCACCCAGGATAGATGGCAATAGTGTCACAGTTATTGACAATCAAGTTATTAAGAAAGTGTTTAAACAAACTCCCAAAGCTTATACTTGGATGCCAGTAAGGCATAATTATATCAGTGCAAACCTGACAGGACCTCTGATCGTTTTTCTTATCCAAGTATGATAGTTGAACTACACTAAAATCATCTTTAAAATATTTTTGATAACACTGCTTGGTTTGAACAACGAACTTTATGAGTGTGGTTCATGTGTTAAACTCATGTTTTGGCACAAGACTCAGTTTATCAGAGGTTGGGTAAATGCACATGATTTAAGAGTTTGGAACAGAACTATCTTCCTAACCTTTGGTTTTACTCCATTTTCTTCAAGCTTGTCAAACAAAGGGTTTATATGAAAGATGTCCAATAAAAGATGTCCTTATAGAGTTTTTTTGTAGTAGGAGAATTCACCCTGACTTGTATTAGAGGCTGACTTCAGCACAAACTGCAAATACTTTATCAGCTTTTCCTCTTTTTGATGGCTTTTATGTTGGAGGTTGGTATGAAGTGAAAATTGTTTTGAAAGTTTGACACGAAAGAGTAAATCAGAGAATGTAGTTCTAAACAAAATATGAGCTTGAAGAAAAGAAAATTTAAAAATTATTTACGAACAGAGGTGGAAAGGAAAGAACAAAATAGATTTTACTTTTTGGAGTTTTATGCAATTTGTAGTCATTGGAAAATGAACCCACCAGGAATACGGTCTAACTGAATAACTTGGTCCCACAGTGGGCAGTTTATCAATACTTATTAGTTTTGACAACTTGTTTTTTTTTTTTTTTGTAATTTTAAGAGCAAATCTTTTTTTTTGTGTAGTCTTATGTTAGTTTTTCTTTTGACGTTGAAGTTCCATAAACAGAAATTGCTATATGAGGTTTAGCATTATTTGAACTTCTGATATGCTAGCAATTGTAATTTAATGGTTGGGGTCTAAAAATTGTTGTGGTTTGTTGTGAAGCCCTTAAGAGTTTTGGGTAGAAGTGACACCTGAACGTTGCCTGAAATTGTTCAACCAAGCAGTGCCCGAGTAAAACAGACAATTAACAGAATGCCAGTCGGGTTTAGCAGAAACTGCTATGAAATGTTTATACATCTTTTAAAGTGTGTATTAGTGATATGATTCAAAAAATGATTGTAGTAATCTTAGTGGAAAATCAGCACAAAAAGTATGCAAGATCAACTTAGTTTTCAATGTAATGGTTATAATTTCTCTAACAGTTTTAAACGGTAGAGTGGCCTGCCTGTCTTCACAGACATGGCCTTTTTAAAGGTATAAGCACATTAACCCCTTCTTCATTTAAATAGGTTATTAAATCATTTATATCTACAATTTAAAGCAACAAAACAAGTGCCCGTTCAGGAGCGCAGGGCAGAACTAAGACATTCAGAAGAAAAATCAGTGAAGCTTCAATGCACGTTCAGCTTCAAGTATTTACACCTCTGACCTCGGCAACGATGAACAATTTTACCACACTGAACGTTCCCATCCCAGAGTCCTACTCAGCAAATTCTACAAGCTGAGACAATGAGAGTCAGAGAAGACTTCAAATTTGAAAGCATTTAGTCTCACGCAGCAAAAAAAAAAAAACGAGAGGCTTTTTTTCACAGTATTTCACCATCCTTCCACGGCACACAAGCACAAACACATCGTCACACGCCAGCAAACTCAGTTTGTTGTCAGTAAACAGATGTGACAATGAACCATTCTGATTGTGTTTCGAGTGTTGTCTGGTCATGCATGTAGATAACAATATTTTTGTATCTGGACACCAAAGACGGGCGGCTCCAACTGAAGAAGTGATTGCCCTTGTTTAAGCACACCTCCAGTTTTTTGAGCTGCATCCAGGTAAAAAAAAAAAAAAACAGAAAAAAATATGTTTATTAGCATGTATGTGTTTACAATTCTAGAGATATGCCGTTAAAACTTGAATTGACAACTTGATGAGCCTGCATTTGTGGTATGAGACAAAAATTACTTTAATCCCTTTTTGCCCTCATTTTCTTCTGAGTAACTTATCTAGCTGCTATGATTCTCGTGTTTATCGTTCCATGCATCTGTGCTTCCTTCCATTTTGTTTTTAGATGCTTTAATGCATCTAAAAGTCCCTCATCTGTACATCCAAATCCATCCATTCATTTGCCATTCAATGTATTGCACAAAGGGGAAGGAGGAATAGATAAGCAAAACAGCCTTATCCAAAACCTTTCCTTAATTCACTTTTCCCCGGTTTCTTCCATCTTGTCGTTGTCCTTTCCCATCCTTCCCTTTGTCATTTCCTATCATCTTAAAAGCCTTGGATGTGGCAATAGGCCTCCAGTGACGAAAAGAGAATGTAGAGGAGCCACAGGCTGACGAACATCATGGTGGTCAGGACCTTCGCAGTCCGGGGCCCGCCAAGCTCTCCGCCAATCTCTGGTCGCCGCCGGTACATCAGAGTGCCGACGGCGATAAAGGCAAATATGGTGAAGAGAGTGACGGAGAAAGCCAGAGTGCCTGGATCCACTTTAAAGTCCTCCCCCTTGCTGTTGTGGTAGATGGCAGCAATGGACCACGCCACCTGTTGAGCAACAGTCAGTTAAATTTGCTGTTGACCAAACAACTAATAACTGATTGAGCTGCACTCACCCCGATGCCCAGGAAAACATTGACAGCATTGGAGCCTGTCACATTACCAATGGATGCATCTGCGTACTGGTCCTGGATAGCAGCCACCTTACTGGCAAATGTATCTGGATGGAGAGAAAAAGATCAGATTTCAGGTTTCACACAGGTTTTCCATCACCCAAGCAACATGTTTGAATCATGTCAAGGGTTCAAAATAGTTATTTTTAGTTCTAATCAAAGCAAAAGACACGAGTCCAGCTACACCAACATGTGCCTGATTAGGAATTACTGCTTAATTTGGGGAGCATTTCTAAAAGCTTTGGTATGTGGTTCGGAGCTCAATTCTTTATTTCCTTGTAGTTTTGACATCATGCATCCCCTCCTCCTCTCTTGACATTAATCTGATCTTTTTTTCTTAGCATTTGATAGTTTTCACTGCTCTTTTCTATCCATCCAAATTAAGAGCTTAAGAACTGGAACAAATTTAATTGATTGCCTCAGAGCCCTTCTATAGTTCAATGTGACATAAAATTGACTTTTAAATGAGAAATCCAATTAAAGGCGGAAGACATCTATTTTTTCCATTTTGTGAAACAATGTCTTATTCAGTGCCACTATCAGGTCAAATAGTAAAAAAAAAAAGACTGAGCCAGACGTACATTTAGAATGATCAATAAAGTTAAAATAAATATGGGACTGTAGTACTGACCTGTTTCTGATACAATCACAGAAGAAGTGAGGGTGCAAATACCTTGATTAGACCTTGTTATTGTCTCTGAGGTGAACAATAAATGTGCCAAGGATTACTAAAAATGTCCATGTTTGTCTAACGTTTAATTTAAAGATATTCATGTACTGTTATAAAATCATTAAATGTTTATAACAGTTTACATAGCGAAAAAACAAACATTTTGAATGAATAAAAGTAAATTTTTGGAATGGATGAACTAACAAATGAAAGAACGAATGATGTGTCTTGAAAACTGCTCACGCTATAGTCATGTTACAATAGCTGCACCTAGGACTGGGTGTTGCTTATCTAAGAGCAAAAAACTCAAGCAGCCCCTACTTGGAAACCTTCATCTGTAATCAGCCTTAACCATCAGAAATGCACTAAACTGTGTAAGACAATGATACAGGCATTTTTGCTGCAGTTAGGGTCAAAAACTTGAGATCCGGCATAATAGTGGGATTTGTTGGGCAAAGACCTGCTTCTTTGCAGTAGTGGTGTGCTCGTGACAGAAAACCTTTGATTCATGTCAACTTGATGATGATGCTTAGATGCCTCAGATAATAACAGCATTAGTGAAGAGAAGCCTTTCCTCTCATTGAAGCCTGCTTTAAACCCTCCTATAAACCCTCTTCAACATGGCATTTGTGATTTAATTAAGACTTTCATGCTCTCTTTTCAGTCTTGTTAATCATTTTGATCTTTGTTCCAAAGATTTTCCCTGATTTCATTTTCATATACACTAAAAACAAAAAAAAAAAAAAAAAAAAAAAAACAAAACAAAACAAAACAAAAC